AATGTACACAATAGAAACACATTTATTTTGTATAAAATAAATACTGAATTGACCTATAAATTCATGTGGATTTTTGTCTGGTATTCGCATGTTGATATTAACAGAATAGCTGTATACAGTTGACCTTTTGTGCCTTTTGACTTTATATGCTTTGATAGCTGACATTTCTGAATACATTTCGTGCCGATAATGTTTAAAGAAGTACAGCTGTCTTTGTTTTGCGGCTTAAAAATCGAAGGCAATCATGAGGATTTTCCGGTATATATATTAAGCTTTTTCGTAAAAATTGTTAAAATCCGACTGATATGTTTTGCTTCATCCACTATGTTCACCTGATATTATCCCTTCTGATTATCATTTGTTTCGCTCATTACGGGACTGCCTTAGTGGTATAAAATTCGCCTGTTCAGAAGATGCAGAAAATCATTTGAAACGTTTCTTCGCCGAAAAAGTACGAGAATTTTACGAGAGAGAAATTATGAAATTACATTAAGGATGACAAAAGATTGTCGAACAGAATGGCGCATATATTATTGATTAAAATTGTTTTTAACAAGAATAAAATGCATTTTAATTTTGTTGAAAAATTCGCATAAACTTATACAGTCCCAGAATGACCTTCAAAGTCCATTTTTCTAATAATTTTGTAGATTTTTAATTATTAATTACAGAAGATTGACGATCACTTGCGATGATATATTAGTGTTACCTAATTAATAACTAAAAATCTACATAGTTATTAAGAAAAGGTAGAGAACTTTTTTGTTCATTTTGACATAATGTACAAGCGCGTAATGGTAGAAGTCGCCACTACAACTTATCTATCATATTTCGCATAATCATTCACATATTTCTTTAATTGATACCTCGATAATTATTGCAAATATCGCAAAATGGTAGAAGACTTTTATATTCACCTTAATCCATACTATGCTTTCCATAACCTATGGCTAAACCAGTAAGGCTAGCAAAAAAGTGATGTTTTTTGTGTAAAATCGATTGGTGTAATCACTTTTGTGCTACAGTTAATACAATATTTAGTAATTTGTTTATAACAATTTATTGTAAAATTGATTTGTACAACAAACTTTTTACGCCAGTTATAATTTCTCATGCTCCAGTACTGTTTGCAATAGTTATTTTTTGCTTTGAAACTTGTATTCTAAAACACCCTGTATGGGTGTTCAGACTAAATAACCCAAAAGGTTGATAGTCATGAAAAGTGAGTGCCATGTAAATACTTGTTTGATCCTATAAACTGCAGAAAGTTATGTTGCACCAATTCAATTAAATCACGTTGATAAATTAAGGGTGTACGGAGAATATATAGTAGAAGCTTACCCTAACTTCGATCGATTTAAAGTACAAAATAGTAACCATAACATGTTTACATTCTTAAGTGTTTACCTCAGCACATAAATCTAACGTTCTATTCGCACCGTGTAATTAATATTACTATAAAATAATAAATTATATATAAAACAATAAATTACTACTATATAAACTCTTCAAATCTCGTACTTTGTTGACGTACTTTGTTGTAAAAAGAGGTTTTGTCTTAACTCATTAAAGTCCACGGCTAGACCAGTAAGGTTAGCAAAAAAATAACTATTGCAAATAGGATTGGAGTATGAAAAACCATAATAGGCGTAAAAAGTTCGTTGTAAAAATCAATTTTGCAATAAATTGTTATAAACAAATTACTAAATATTGACTGTAGCACAAAACTGATTACGCCAATTGATTAAAATACGAATAAAGTTACACAAAAAACATATATTACTTTTTTGCGTAGCGTCCTCCGGTTATGCAAAAGAAAATAAATTAACGTTAATTGAAAGTTGCTCCAACTTATGGCTAGACCAGCCATAAGTAAGGCTAGTAAGACTAGCAAAAAAGTGTTATATGTTTTTTATGTAACTTTTTCCGTAAAATTGATTGGCGTAATTAATTTTGTGCTACAGTCAATATTTAGTAATTTGTTTAGAACAATTTATTGTAAAATTGATTTGTACAACAAATTTTTTACGCCACTTATAATTTCTCATGCTTCAGTTTTATTTGCAATGGTTATTTTTTGCTAACCTTACTGGTCTAACCATGGAATTAATAGATTAAGAAAGTAATTAAATAAGTTCAGTTTATGACTAAAGTGTGTAAACATAATATTAAGCTGAAAACTTTACCGACAGAATACCGACATTTTTCTGCAAAGTTTACGTCGTATTAGTTGTACAAAATTACAAATGCTTTTACACATTGAAAGTACGTGTAAAAATATATAAGAGCTCAATATTTTACGAAAACTAAATAAAAAACGTAAAATCTCAAGTGCCCGCTGTCAGTTAGTGTAATATTGTCTAATCAAAAGTTTCGCAGCTTCTAGTATGTATGTACATACTGAAAGTGTGGATGTTCCAAATAGGAAAACATTTTGAAGAACATTGCTATACCTTTGCATCAGAATTCAGAAGCTGAATATTCGAAAAGAAAGACTTCTACATATGTGTGTGCGTGATTAGGTTTTCTACTAAATATGATAAAATAAAGCATATTTACGTAAGTTCTGTATTTACAAGAAATGTGTGTTAGTGACAATTAGTGGCGTGGCCAGGGGGGGTGGGGTGAGAGGGTTGCAAAAATTAATTTTCTGGGTTACGCTAAGTGTGAGAAAAATTTTTTCGAATGATCTTTTTTTGTTCTTCAAAAATAAAAAGTACAGCTCCCCCCGAAACTTTTTTCTGGCTACGCCACTGGTGACAATCGTCTCTGCGCTATTGACATTTTTCGAGTACGTCATCGATTCCAGTATCTCCTTTCTCCTGCACCTATCTTCAAGTCTGATTAAATCTTCTTGTGTAATAAAACAGCATCAGCCTGGCCATCAATACGACGGAAAACTTTCAAATCGTCGTTATAATAAAAACTTACAGTATCTGAAGTTAGCAACTATATCGTGTTAATAAATAAAGTAAATAGTAATAGACCAAATAGTGTAATACAAATAGTAATAATTGCAAATAGTGATAGTAATGGTAGTAATGGAACAAAATGAGAGCCCTGAGGGACGCATGAAGTCACAGATATGTGCCTCAAGAAACTTCTATTAAATTTTACAATTTTAATTCTATCCAATAGAAAATCTAAAATCCAGTACAGGAGAACACTTCTAAAATCAAGAACTCGCAGTTTGCGCAATGAAATGGAATGATAAATCGTATCAACTCAGACAGCATGAGCTCTAAAAACAACGCATAAGATGACTTTAAGATGTCTTTTAGTCATCTTTATGATACATATTTTAGAGGTGACATAAATATAACTAAAGACATAAATATAACTAAAGACATCTTAAAGTCATCTTATGCGTTATTTTTAGAGCTCGTGTGGTCTTGGAAGTGTCTGGGAAATGTCTGGGAAGTGTCCGACTGAAGTCCATGTATGTTACATCAGTCTGATATTGATTGTGGATATAGTATAATGATAATAGGTTAATAAGTTTGTTATAGAAGATTAACCAGGCATAAATTCATGTTGTTCGTTAAAGATAATATTATTACAAAGGGAGTTAAGCTTTTGCGCAATAATGCTCTCGAAGATCCTGAGCACAATGCTCTGCTTAATGGATCTATATTTGATAAACATACAAATTGTTCCCATAAAGTAGAGAATATTTAAAGATAATATAAGATATTTAAAGATAATATAATCATATTTTAAAGATTTCTTGAATAAAACTATAAAAAACAAGACGCATACAGAATAGCTGATAACTCACGGAGGAGTCGCGGTGTACAGAGATTAAACAACCTCATCATTAGATAAGGTTGTTAAAGAACAAAAAATTCTTCAATCATTTTGCAAACAACCACGTAAAACTTTGAGTTATTAATCAAAGAAAATTCGCGTGAATGATCACGCGTACGGTAGATGAGCTGTGATAGCGACGTTTACTGTTGTATGCTTATATTTTAGATTAAATTGAATAAGAAAGTCTTCCATTTTTCAAATGACCATGTAGACGTTTAGTTATTAATTAAAGAAGATTAGTGAATTATTGTGTAATACACGCACACTTGACTGAAATCTGTATGATAATATTCATAATAAACAAGCCATAAGTACAAGAACAATCGCTTAAAAGCCATAATATTGTATCGTGTTTAAAGAAAATCACAACAGCGATCTGTAGTAAAACCATGTTCGTTAAATTGTATTCACGTGTACGTGTACTCGAAAAATTTTCAAACTTATTTCTCTTAAAAAACGGAGCTTCGATTGGAAAGAAGTTATTCAATTATTTCGATCTATTTTGAGACATACAATCACCTCCTTCTTAGTTGTAGAAATATAAAAGATATAAGAAATATAGAATTAATATAAGAAATATAAAGTATAATTTTTTCTGAATATCTATCCGAATAATAATAATAATTTTTATATTAATGAGAAAATCCTCTTAGTATACATGACGATATGTTAGACTGGTGCAAAAGATTTGTCATACTTCTTATATTCTATTCTTGTCTATTCTTATATTCTATATAAGAAATATAGAATTAATATAAAAATATAAAGTATAATTTTTTCTGAATATCTATCCGAATAATAATAATAATTTTTATATTAATGAGAAAATCCTCTTAGTATACATAACGATATGTTAGACTGGTGCAAAAGATTTGTCATACTTCTATTGAATTTTCACAGGAAGCTTCGGTATCAAAGAGAAAATAAGATGATGTTTAAAAAAATATTGAGTCAATGTTGTTCATTTTATTCGTAAAAATTATTAATCCCTCGAAATTGAATAACTGCGTTTTCGATTTTATTTGACAAACACAACGAATCTTTTGCACCAGTTTAATAAAATCGCAGGTGGGCAAATAAAAAAGAATAGATAAATAGAGAACGCAGGAATAATGAATAAAATAAGTAAGTTTTCAATGAAATCTCGCGCAGTGTGCAAGACGATGCGCGAGAGCGCCAGTTGGACTCACTTGGAAAATGATGGCTTCCCGCTCGATTTGCGAAAAGTTCTTGAAGATAGTATTGATGATATTGAGGAACTTGTCTCGGTCCAGGAAAGTAGCTTGATCCTTCTCGAAGAAGTCAATGAAGTCGTACAGGATGAAGTATGTTCCTGAAACAGAGAGATACGCGTATGTTTGGAGTGGAAGAAGAAACTGTGCGCGAGGGAATTTGCAGCGCGACTTTCTCGCACGTAATTTGTGCGAGAGATAGAAAGAACTACAAAATCCATAGTATCATCGCCTCATTTCCACTGTGGCATTATAAGTTCAGTCAGTTATTGCTCGATTCGCTTAACAAGCTCGCCGAAAAAAGGAGTTTCAACGCGCGCACGAGATGCTCCGAACGCTCCGAGCGCTTTCAAGTGATACAACCGACGATTCGCTCCGACTTTGCGCAACATGCCGAAACTACCGAAGGTATTACCCGCTGGCGTAGATGTCTCTTCGTAATTCACGGTTAAGAAAGGACAGCATGAAGGGAGGGAAAAGAGAGGACGGAGGGAGAGCGTGAGACACGCAGTTTCAGAGGGAAGACGCGCGTTGGCTTTATTTAATGAAAAAAGTTGACCACACCGGCAGGGCGTTATACATTCTTCGTTCCGCGGCGTGAAACTCCCGGATTTCCGGTTGCTTACACGTGCACAACACGGAAACTTCGTCCTCTGTCTCCCTCTCTCTCTCTCTCTCTCTCTCTCTCTCTCTCTCTCTCTCTCTCTCATCTCCTCTCAGCGAGCAAGAGTGTTGCCTCGGGCGTGCCACCGCCTTTGAGATCGCGCACGAGAGCTTCAAAGAGAGCGTTCGCGCCGCGAAGAGGAAATGTAGTTTTCTCATATAAAGAATTTTCTGTTGGGCGATATGCAACGATAACAGGTAGCCGGCTCCGGCATTTATATTGTAAATATTTTCCGAGAATGCATATAACCAGTCGAATCCCATCTTCCTCTCTTTCTCTCGCATCACTCTCGAGAGGTCGTGTAAATTTAAACGGCCGCGATGCGATAAATGAATTACGTTCGATCTGCCGACGAACGCGTTCAAAGCGCGCCACTCGCAGCGGCGGCGTTAAGCACGAATTTAATTGTTAAGTTTCCGGGAAACGGCAAGCGATGCGAAAGTCTCAAACTAGGGGGGAAGTAGTTGGGTAGTTGAGTCGAGCACGAAAGAGAGTACTCCCGTTCTCCTCGCTTCACCGAGTAGTCTTCTTTCGCAGCTTTCGTAGCATCTTCGCGTCATTGAATATTCTCGGCGTAGATATATCTACGAATTTGATCGAATCCCGAATTGACACGTTAAGGGACGATTGTTCCTCCCTCTTGCTAAGCTAACTAACGGTTAAATCATAGATTCATCTTTGTCTAATTTGAGGGAGAAACAAAGACAGACATATGAGTTGGGTAGTTTACTAAAAAATTGGAAAAATCGGCCTTAACGGAACTGGAAGGTCAGATTGCCTGAAAATCGTGCTTGTTCTTTCATAATTTTTTATGACAAACTTAATGAATATGCGAAAGTGTTATTTTGACGTGTATTTATACAATATATAAAGAGAAGAAAAATATAATTTTGATGATTAAGTACCTAATATAAGTGTATGGTACATGCAGTTAAAATATATTTCGTTTTTCTTTTCAAGATCGTCATTTTGCAATAATATCTTGACTCTAGGTGGTTCAATTAAGTTGAAGTTTAGATAGAAAATTTGCATAAGCTTCTCGTTATCGTGTGAACCACTGACAAACTCGTGAAAATATTTAATTTTGAAATTTAATTTTTTTACTATAAAAGAACTGAAAATTAATAATATTCCATTAAGATATTTGCAATTTTGTTAACTTTTACTCAATTTCTATTATAGTTCACACGATAACGATAAGCTTACGTAAATTTTCTACCTAAAGCTTAATTACCTCTACTAAGCTTAATTAGCTTTACCTTCAGCTTAATTAAATCACCGAAAGTCAAAATATTACTGCAAGATGACGATCTTGAAAAGAGAAACGAAATATATTTTAACTGTATGTACCATACACTTATATTGAGTATTTGATCATCAAAATTATATTTT